CTAGTTATAATATTTGTAAATTTGTTACATGGAGAAATAATTTACAAACATGACAATTTTTTCACTCTTTATGTCTCATTAAGTAACACCATTTTGATTAATCTTATTGAACAATCGTTTAACCCATCATGGTTTGAACTCATTTCTTCTTAATTATTCATAGTTCTTTTAAACGAATCAACTAGCCACATGGTTAGTATTCCTGTATTATTGATAAAAGTATATTGATTAAAAGTGGGAGTTTAAAACTTAAAGTATAAAAGTATATTTACAAAATATTTTTATCATAAAATTTCTATTATTTAGACTAAATATGCAATTACCGCAAAAGTCCCATCCCAATATGGAGGGTGGGGATAGAAACCTACAACTCCAAAAGTGGTTACTTATGGAAAAATAAAGATAAAACGCTTTGTCTTTTTTTTTCTTTATCGTTTTTTTTTGTCCACTTCTTTTTGGAGGTTTCCAATGCTTTGTTCATAAGATTCCTGATTTTGAAAAAAACCTAATTCAATTTTGTGTTTTTTTTTTCAAAAACCAATTTGTAATTCTACGTAAATTTATCTGTTTTTTAATTTTTTCCTAATACGCAACATTTTTTTTATTTCTCATGTCTAAAAAATTTCTTTCTCACTTTAAAATTTTGTTTTTCTAAACCTGTCTCTACAAAATTTATTTCTCTCTCTCAAATATTCGTACTTTGAATATTTATTATTATTTATCTTTCTGTCTAAATTTTGCATCTCTATGTATTTTTATTTTTTATTCTGTTAAATAAAATTCTCTATACGAAATTTGTTTTTCTGTTTCTAAAATTTTCGTAGTTTGAATATTATTATTATTTGTCAATCCCTCTCAAAATTTTTCATCTCCACATATTTTAATTTTTTTTTCTTTTTCTAACAGACTAGTTTCATTTCTCTCTCCAAAAATTTAATATTTTTTCGAATTTTTTCTCTTTAAAATTTTATTTTTTATAACTTTTCTATGTCTTCCGAATCTATTTTTCCATATTCTTTTCTGGTTCAATTTTCTTTCACTGCAAGTTTTATTTATCCCTGTATTTATTAATTTCTCTAAAAATTATATTTTGAATCTTGTTTTTATCTCTAAATTTTTTCGACTATAGTTTTTATTTTCTGCATAGTCAGGGTCCAAAAATAGAAAATCAATGTCTCAACCCCATCCCGATTCCATTTTTTAAATACTTAATATATATTTATTACGTTTTTTTTGTTTTTTAAATTCTAAAAATAATTATAAAACAATTATAAAACCAATAATTATTCTTGAGAACATCTTTTAGACGGAAGAACGAGGTAAAGATGGGGATTAAAAATTTTCACGGGCACGAGAATGGAGGATAGCATCCTCACTCAAACCCACATCATTGTCATCTCTACACTACATGAAATTTTCTCTCTTATTTTCAGTTTTCCAACTTTTTAAAAACAGAAAACTAAACACGGTTATCAAACATGTTTAGTTTTCTTTTTTTCAAAAATATAAAAAAAAATGGTTATCAAACATATATGGTTTTTGATTTTTAAAAATAGAAAACTAAAAACCAAAAACTAAAAACAAAAAAGAACAAAAAACCAAAAACAGAAATGGTTATCAAGCGGGCCCTAAGGAGAAAAAAAAAACATTAACAACAAGGCATGAAAAGAACCAGAGCAAGGTAGTCCATATGTTCTTATCCATATGCTAGCTCTTCAAATTGATATGATGAAATTTATTAAGCTGTTTAGGGGTCGTTTGTTTCGTCGGAATCCAAAATTCCCGTGAGAGAGGCATCTAGATTTCACGTTTGTTTTGCGATAATGTAAGATATTTGGGTATCTCGGGATGTACGAGTATCCTAGGATGCCCACACAGAAGACATCCAAGTCAATTTGGATGCTCATTTGAAACATGGGTTTCCATGATTCTGATGCTGAGGGTGTTTGATCAAGAAAATGACCAAGTTTGCAAAGCTCGAGTCGAACTGAGATATGCTCGAGGGATAATCTTGATGGATGACTGGCAAAACAGAATACACTTCGATACTAAAGTCAGTAGCTTGCTAAAGTCAGTAGCTGGCCAAACTAAACTCGAGAGAAAATTTAGTATTCATGTACCCGAAAAATGGGGTGAATTTTGATCTATTTATGGGCGATTTCCCCTACAATATTCCCAATAGCACCTCAACGGCTCTTTAAGGTTGTCGTGAATCGCGGCGCATTGCGTGGAGTCTGCCGGAGCCTGGGATTGAGCCGAGGTGAAGCTAGGCGGTTCGTCTTAATAAATGAGAATGGACCTTCAGGGAGCTTGGTTAGCTCGACCACACAAGATGTCAGCTCGGTAGTATAAATGAAACTGAGGTAATGACACTTTAAGCTTATATGGAGGACACATGTACTTCTCATCACCCAATCATCATATGCCACGTGTAAGGTGAGAATCGCTTCCGACAGAGGGCATCCTATATTGACATTTTTGCCCCTTCATTATTCTTTCATATATTTTATTTTATCAAATTTCTTTAGTTTTATTTGTAATTTTATAAGTTAAAGAAATTAATATACTATTGACTAATAAGCAATTAAGTATATTTATGTATTCCACGTACATATAAAATAAACTTCAATTAAGTTATATAATATCTCCATTTACTTTTAGTATTTGGAATGACTTATTGTGAATACTATCTATTATCTTATATACATAATTTTAAAACAACATTTTTTCAACGATCAACCCATCTTTGATATTCTTCTTCGTAAAATAATATAATTTGATAATATAATAAACAAATTTCACCATATATAACATTAAATATTTAATTGTATTTTTTTAATATTAAAGTTGAAAATGAAATTTATATTCAATATTAGTTAGTTTTAAAAAAGCCTTATATTAATATGAATTCTACTGGCATACAAAAATTAATACGTATATGCAATTAATATAAAAAAAAACCTAAATATTAAATAAATTTTAAGAAAATCTATTATATAAATGTAAATTATATTAGATTAATGTATAAATTATATAAATATTCATAAGGGTATTTTTAAAACATTATATAATTTTATAACATTCTCATGAATAAATCCTGCAAAACCAACATGACTATCCAAATATTCCCAGACATCCTTATATATTTTCCTACGAAATAAACATGACCATCTGAAGATGCCAAAAATCTATATTTTCAGACATCTGAAATTCGAGGCATCTCAAGATGCCAGACATCTACATTAAAAAAAAAAGGCCTCTTAGAGATCCTTTGTTTCGTAGAAATCCAATATTTTCATTGAACACGCATATGAATTTCTATGTTTGTTTTACGACAATGTAGATACTTGGGAATCTCGAGATTCCCGGATATCCTAGGATGCCCATACGGGAGGCATCTAACGAATTTTAATTTTTAAATTTATATTTTAAATAAATTAATGTATTCATCGTCTAATAAACAACTTTATGCAATTAAATGTATCGGTAAAATACATTTACATATAAAAATAAACTACAATTAAATTATATAATATCTATATTTATTTCTAATATTTTTAAGGAATTATATTATTAAAAATATATAATTTTAAAGCAACATTTTTTTTACTACTGACATTAGGGGTGCAACCAAAAACCAACTTTACCGCCCAAACCACTTAAACCAAATCGAAATCGAACTCGGGCTGTAACAAAAATATATAATGTGATGATAAGATCAAAAAAATTTCCCAAAGATAACACCACTTATATGATTTACTTTTTGGAAAAATATTAAAGTTGAAAATGAAATTTATATTTAATTAATATGAATTATTTTGTTATACAAAATAACATATGTTTAAGCAACAAATAACGTCTCGACTGAAATGGTCGAGATGGACCAACTGGGTGAGCTAAAGAAATGGAGCGAGCTGAGAGATCTTGTATTTAAAAGACCTGCACAAGGAGTCAAACACTCGATGGGCAAGTTAATAAGGAGCTTGACCAAGGTGTTAAGATTGATATAGAATCAGATACTTGACTGCAAAGTGGGCCGCCTATTTATAGTTTGGGCGTCCGATAGTGCATCTGACTGCTAGTTGAGCAAGTCGGGAAACTGCTATTCTTTATGGAGATGGTTGTGCTGCTCGTGCAAAGTCTGAGTCTCTGCGCACGCTTATTTGATCGTGTAGTTTGTCCTTCCCAAGGTGGAATGAGCATTTCAGACTGATTTGCCTGTCGGCGACTCTACTCTCCCTGATCATTCATCTCGATGAAGGGATGTTAATCCCGCAGCGGAAATGACGAAAGTGTTTTTGAATTTGGAGGATAAAAATATTGCACAATGAAGGAACAAAAAAACCAGGGGAAAATGAAACTTACTTTTGAAGAACCTTTCTTCAAGAAACTCAAGCGAACACCACCACCGATCTTCCCGACTATCCTCTGGGAACGAAAATTTGCTTGTGGGAGCAACAAACTTGGAAATTGGGTTGGAGAGAGATGTTGAGAAAAGAAAATTGCAGTAGGTGGTTTTTTCTTCTTATATTCTCTATTATGCCGAACCATTCCGCAAAAATCCAAGATGACGTGGGGAGTTATCCCACATCATAACAAACCTCCCACTCCGTTGCTTAATTGAGCAACGGAGTGTTTAATATTAATATTAATAATTAATATATATATATATATATATAATTAATTACTGTTATTAATAATTAATTAATAATCTAATTAACAATTGATTAATTAATTAAAAATAAATAAATAATTAACACTTAATTATTTATTCCCAAAACAGAATAATATTCTAAAGCAATTCTCTCCTATAATATATAGTTGTAATGTACATTTTATGCATATTATTTTTAACGTATAGTTTTAATATGAGTCATATTCATATTGATTTTTATTTGAATAATTTCTTCATAATATGTAGTTTCAATTTAGAATTAATCATATATTATAATTTATCTATATACATATAATCCCTTGAGCATTTTGAACATTTCAAATTCTTCCAAGAAACTCGAGCCTCGTTTTGCTCGTTGTAAACTAGCAAGGGGACTTAATAAACATACAGATCAGAAGCTCCAACAATACGAGATTAATCTGTCAAACTCATTAACTGAGTTAATCAACATTCATGAACTGCGGGTCACTCCACTAAAGACCCGCAGCTAAATTCTTCTCACTGCAGAATGTTTTTCGTGTCCACGGATAGACGACCATTAACGGCAAGTCAATCTTTCACGTGTGCTTGTAACTTGAGATGTGTCAAATCATCATTTTACCACATAGTTACATCTTACACCTTAAATACCACTACTCCTCTAATGAACAACCCGATTACGGTCCGATGAATAACTAGAAGTCCCTCTAAGACAAGTTAGAGGGTGGGGCCCATTTTTCAAGTCCCGGAGTCAGCATTTAAGAGAACGCTCATTTACTTCCCCAAAGTCGGGGAGAAGTGAAATCCATCTCGTGAAGTTATGTTCCCAGCTCCCCACTCGATCTCATCCCCAAAATGGTAAAAATGTTGAGTCGGCGACTCGTGCCACTCTTACCCGTACAGATCAAAGAACGAGCCGTCACGTGCAAGAGTCTATGACTCACTCAGAATTGAGAATGAGTTGTCTGGTCATGCTATGAAATAGAAATCTGTTAGTCAACGACGTTACATCTAATGATTGAATTGATGGAAAAAATACATACATGCGCAGCGGAAGTGAGCAAGAATCGAAATAACAATCTAGATGCATAATACAACCTAGGATTAAACATGCATGATCATACATTATGATGCTTAGACATAAGTAGAGAAAAATACAAACCTTTGTAGCTTTTCAAAAATCTTCAAATAGCTCCAATGAAGGACCACCAAGAGATCTTCCTAGCTATTCTCAAGGCTTGGAATAGAGTGGTGRGACTCTTTTTAGAGAAGGAAAAAATTAGAGAAAAGTGGAGCTAAAAGGAGTTATGTAAGCTTTTTGAAAACACATCAAATGGCCAAAGGTTCCAAGAGATTTTGATGTTTGAACAAAAACTTTCTTAAATAGGCAAATTACATACAACTCTTGCATGTCAAAGTTCACCAAAGCTTACAACACATATTCCACTCACGCATGGCATGACTAAGTGTCAAAATGCATGTCTAAGTTCACCAAAAGCTTACAACACACATTCCACTCATGCATGRCATGRCTAAGTGTCAAAATGCATGTCTAAGTTCACCAAAAGCTTACAACACACATTTCACTCATGCATGGCATGGCTAAGTGTCAAAATGCATGTTTAAGTTCACAAAAAACTTACAACACACATTCCACTTATGCATGCATGGCTAAGTGTCAAAAAGTGGATTTTTGAGATTATTTAAATGTTCCACTCAACAAGTTAGTGGAATTTTCCACCAACTTGGTTAAAAACATTATTTTAATCTACTTTAGTCAACCTTTGACTTTCTCTGGTCAAAGTCAACTATTTGACTTTTTCCAAAATCAAATGTTTGATGAAATCCATGCCTCCGATTATGAATCCGCATTCATAATTTTAATATTTAAATCCTATTTAAATATTTTGTCCAAATTTCTCAAATTGATATCATATATCAATTACTTAATCATATCTCATATGATTAACCTAATTCGTACGATTTGAATTATTCCTTCAAATTATTCCAAGTTTATTCCTATATGAGCTAGCCAGGGGACCTTATGGACCTACAGATCATGAGCTCCAACGATCCGAGATTAACCGGTTAAACTCTTTAACCTAGTTAACCAACAATCGTTAACTACGCGATCACTCCACTAAAGCCCGTAGCTGCAGTCTCCTCACTGTAGATATATTATGTCCATTTTTATATAACCATGATCGGTAAGTCGACCCTTCACAGGTTGTTCGCAATTACAGCTGGGTCAAAATACCGCTTTACCCCTGTAATTACCTCTTGTTCCTTAAGTCCCACTAATCCTCTGATGAACAATGATTTGTAGTCCAACTATCAAATCAAAAAATCCTCTCAAACCTTTTGATGAGGGTGGTGCCAATTGTTCAAGACCTTGATTCAGCCCTTAAGAGAACAACCTCTCTACTATCCCAAATTTGGGTAGAAGTGAATTCCTTCTTGCACCCTATGTCCCTAGCTATCTACCGGGTCTTACCCCTGAAATGAGAGGCTTATTGAGCCAGCGCTGTTGAGCTGCTCTCACCCATGCAGATCTAAGGATAATCCCGAGTAAACAGAAGTTCATAGTTAACTCAGGATTAAGATCGAGTTACCTAGGCCATCAAAGTTGAGATAGTCAGTTTCAAACAGTAAACGGTGTTATAAAGTAAAAGTGACTATCTCATGGTCCGGTCTTATGCAAACTCTTTGCACGGGACACCCCCACTCGCATGTCTTCACATGAACGAATTCGGATCACATCGTTTGTACTAGCTACAAAGTGGGCCGCATCCATAGTGTCCCCAGAATAAGGCGCCCAACCTTATTCCTATACTATAGACCATTTAGACTGTTAACTCAAACTTGATTCATATTTATGTCTCTTACATAGAGATTGAGTCTCAGGTAACAGTCTAGGATCCTTTATTTTATTGGATTTAGATATAGTAAGAACATTTTATTGGATCAATAACTACTTATTGATTAAAACCTTCAATAACAACTTTATTGAATGATAAAAGTATATCTGTCATTTTCAAACTATGAGTTTTAGGACATAAAACCCAACATGAATATTTCCCAATCCGGTCTTATACAAACTCACTGTATAGGATACCCCCACTCGCATGTCTCCACACGAACGACATGGATCGGGTTGTCTGTAACATTTACAAAGCGAGCCGCATCCATAGTGTTGCCAAGATAAGGTACTCAGTCTTATCCATATACTATAGACGCTTTAGGTTATTCCCGAGACATTATCCACATGTATACCGAAGGTATATCAAATATATACCCATTATATACACTGTCTTGGTTACATGATAATAACCTTGAATGTTTAGTTTATTGGATTTGGAGAATGCAATGCTATAAATTCAATCAGAATATGAATCCATAACTGTACTGAATATATATTTGGTTTTATATAATTACAAACTACGAGTTTAGGGCGACACACCCAACACTCGAACCATCAGGCTATCATCAAGTAAATGTTCTACATATGGCAGTGATATTTTACACCTTCAACATTGGCCTCCTTTATAGTAGGTCGTTCATTTCACCTGGTAGAGATGATATTCTTGCTTTTGCAATGCTTGTCCACTGTTAGGGTTGACTTTTTACTGTAGAAATGTGGATCGGTAGACCTGTTTGACCACGAATTTGACCCTTTCCCATCATTATTAGCTAAAAAGGATTACATATTCTTAATGTAGAACATGCATAGAACATTTTTGGATAATTTGCAATATATGGTACATTAGGAAAAATGTGAGAAAAATGCGGTACAAGTTCGAAGAAAATCATAGAGAATTTTTTTTTGCAGGAATTACGTCTGGCGCATTTTTGGTCAACATGGTCAAAACGTGCGTTTCACTTAATGAATGGCAAAAGAGTCATTTCCAACATGTTCGAATCGACCCAAAACCGCGAGTCCAAGTCAAAGAAGGTTTGTTGAATGAATGTCAACCTTTGTCCACTTAAAATGGAAGGTAGTTCAACCACCTTGAGGGCCTATAAAAGGAAGCAACTCTCCTAGCAGCAAAGCATCCATTCTCAATTCGTTTTCATCTTCTTTTCTTCTGTTCTTAGCTAGAGATTTCGTTCATAGGCTTTAGATTTACATTTTAGTTGTTTGTTTCTTGTATTTTCACTCTTTTACTTACGTATTACCTTTAATTAGAGTTTGTACTTCTATTCTTAATTTATTTCATTCTTTAAACATTCTTAAGCGAGTTTACACTCCCTTCGTCCTCGAAAGAGAAGAGGGCCAAGCTAGAACACTTTGTACAACGTTATTCTTTATTCAAATTCAATCGAAATTACTTCTTTTATGTTTATGTGTGTTTTCCTTTAATTATGCACTAAGTTATTTATCAACCTCTCTGTGGAATGCCTTAATCAAACGATTTTGTAACGCCCTGCATTCTCTAACTTGTTTATTTTAAGAGATAAATAGTGTCTTTGGATTTTTCCCTAAACTTATAACTTTAATTCTGGGATTTTATAATTTGTAAATTCTAATTTTTGGCTAAATTAGAATTAAGTTTAATTTCATTGGATTAAGATAATTTAAGTTCTCGACCTGTGTAGGAGATTTTTAGTTAAATCTTAAATTCACGGTTTTTAGGATTTTTTTTCCTAAATTCTACTTTTTCTTTGGATTATTATTCTTGGGTTTTAGAGTTTCAGTTAACTATTTTATTTCGGTTTGTTGTGGGTTTTATTTGATTTCTAAAGTATAATTATTGGGCTTATTGTTTTGGGTCATTGTGTTATTTACTTGGACCTCCTTTAAGAGTAAGGGATTGGGCTTTTAGTTTTTAAACAAAACAAAAGAAAAGGGAAATTAAATGAAAATTAAAACAAGGAACTCTAGGTCCCCTCCTTTATCTTCTTCATCTTCTTGGGGGTGGTCCGAGTGCTTGAAATCCTTGATGAAGCGAGCCTCGCTCTGGGGTGTATGAAGGGGTTGAGGTGGCGGAGCTTGGACCCCGCCCACCCCTGCGGCGTTACTGATCACTGTTTGCAGGGCCTCCACAAGCAATGCCAATTGGGGGTTCACCTGAGGAACTGCTGGGGGAACTAGAGGATCTGCCCGCTCTCGAGCGGCTGCTGGAGGAAATGGAGGGACTACTCCTGCCTGATTCCCAGCAGGAGGGGGCGGTGGATCTGCTCCGTTCTCACTTCCGGGAGCGGGGTCGGCGTCAGCTCGCAATCTCATACTACGACGGGGAGGCATTGTTTGGAAGAACGGCACAAAATTTTGATAAGACGTTAGCACGATACTCCACGCATAGACTAATAGGAAAAGTGGCAGTCGAAACTCCCATAATAGTAAAAGGTCCACCACATTCTATTTGGTACGCTTAATAAGCACTCTATGTCTAGCGAAACAGAGTAGCAACAAAAACTGGTGAGAAAAATTTCAGCGCACAAGTAAATCATGGAAAATGTATAAGCTCTCAAGGACCGCATGAAGCGTACCTGGTGATGACGAGGAGGTCGACCGAGATCACTACTCCTACGTATGCTAGTTTCTAACTCAGTCTACAGGAACGTTTTGGCTCTGATACCAACTGTAACGCCCCAGGATTTTATATAATATCCTAGGCAACGCTAAACAATTCACCTGGCTAACCTTAACTCTAAACACGAGATAAGCAACTCCTTGGGAAAATAATTTAAATGAAATAAAGCTTCGACTCTCATACGTTCTATCGGAAATATAAATGTCATAAACTGTCAGGACTTCACCCTCCGTGGGCAATTTAAAAACATCAACATCTCATATTCGCCTCAGTGGCAAAACTTCTTAAA